TGTTAGGAGTTAAGGGGAGAGGCTGAGCGTCACCATGATGATGACTGTTAGGGGTTAAGGGGAGAGGCTGAGCGTCACCATGATGATGACTGTTAGGAGTTAAGGGGAGAGGCTGAGCGTCACATGATGATGACTGTTAGGAGTTAAGGGGAGAGGCTGAGCGTCACCATGATGATGACTGTTAGGAGTAAGGGTGAGAGGCTGAGCGTCACCACTGTGTTATGTAAGCCAACTAGACAGACAGTGTATCTCTCTTCCTCCTGTTACATCAGCAGATTACAAGGCATCACATACTTGAATGAATGTTAAATAAAGAATGCTGTAAATACTGCATCTCATCAGCCTGTATGCTCTGCAGAGACTGCCTTCTTCATGTCTGAATTGCAGCTGAGGTTTTATATGGCAATTAGCAATTGACTTATACAACATTCACAAGTTGTACATTTGACTCATACAATAACCCACCTTCGAGTGATGCTCTAGTTTCTTCATGTTTTAGTTTTTTTCCCCTCTTGCTTGCTCCGGACTGAAACTGTCTTTTCACTGACATCTCTTCACCTGCACTAGTGGCCGTATCAAAGCCGTGATTGGTCAGATGTCAATTCATTGCAACGGTGTCGGGTTACAGACGTGCTCCCCTTCTCACCTCTCACTCTCGCGGAGAACTGAGCTGAGAACTGCGCACAGCAGCTGAGGCCCTCTGGGCGGGGCCCCCTGCGCAAGGCGGGGCCCCATGCAGCCTGCGTGATTGGCCTGTAGGGAGGGGCGGCCCTGCATGTGTGTATTATGAGACTGTTCTGAGCCCATATTGTAAAGCACTGCTGTTTGAACCTCTGAGATCTGATTGATATGAAGGTGTATAGCCATAGGTGTCTTGTGCGCTGGGGACCCTAACTACCATCGCTCATGGGGCTCTGCTCCTGACCCTGAAGTCCCCATGTGGTCTGGCCTGTCAGTGGAGTGATGTCGACTGACCCTGAAGTCCCCATGTGGTCTGGCCTGTCCGTGGTGTGATGTCGACTGACCCTGAAGTCCCATGTGGTCTGGCCTGTCCGTGGTGTGATGTCGACTGACCCTGAAGTCCCCATGTGGTCTGGCCTGTCCGTGGTGTGATGTCGACTGACCCTGAAGTCCCCATGTGGTCTGGCCTGTCAGTGGAGTGATGTCGACTGACCCTGAAGTCCCCATGTGGTCTGGCCTGACAGTGGCGTGATGTCGACTGACCCTGAAGTCCCCATGTGGTCTGGCCTGACAGTGGAGTGATGTCGACTGACCCTGAAGTCTCCATGTGGTCTGGCCTGTCAGTGGAGTGATGTCGACTGACCCTGAAGTCCCCATGTGGTCTGGCCTGTCAGTGGCGTGATGTCGACTGACCCTGAAGTCCCATGTGGTCTGGCCTGTCAGTGGTGTGATGTCGACTGACCTGAAGTCCCCATGTGGTCTGGCCTGTCAGTGGCGTGATGTCGACTGACCCTGAAGTCCCCATGTGGTCTGGCCTGTCAGTGGAGTGATGTCGACTGACCCTGAAGTCCCCATGTGGTCTGGCCTGTCAGTGGAGTGATGTCGACTGACCCTGAAGTCCCCATGTGGTCTGGCCTGTCCGTGGTGTGATGTCGACTGACCCTGAAGTCCCCATGTGGTCTGGCCTGTCCGTGGTGTGATGTCGACTGACCCTGAAGTCCCCATGTGGTCTGGCCTGTCAGTGGAGTGATGTCGACTGACCCTGAAGTCCCCATGTGGTCTGGCCTGTCCGTGTGTGATGTCGACTGACCCTGAAGTCTCCATGTGGTCCTGGCCTGTCCGTGGTGTGATGTCGACTGACCCTGAAGTCCCCATGTGGTCTGGCCTGTCCGTGGTGTGATGTCGACTGACCCTGAAGTCCCCATGTGGTCTGGCCTGTCCGTGGTGTGATGTCGACTGACCCTGAAGTCCCCATGTGGTCTGGCCTGTCCGTGGTGTGATGTCGACTGACCCCGAAGTCCCCATTGTGGTCTGGCCTGTCCGTGGTGTGATGTCGACTGACCCTGAAGTCCCCATGTGGTCTGGCCTGTCCGTGGTGTGATGTCGACTGACCCTGAAGTCCCCATGTGGGTCTGGCCTGTCCGTGGTGTGATGTCGACTGACCCTGAAGTCCCCATGTGGTCTGGCCTGTCAGTGGAGTGATGTCGACTGACCCTGAAGTCCCCATGTGGTCTGGCCTGTCCGTGGTGTGATGTCGACTGACCCTGAAGTCCCCATGTGGTCTGGCCTGTCCGTGGTGTGATGTCGACTGACCCTGAAGTCCCCATGTGGTCTGGCCTGTCCGTGGTGTGATGTCGACTGACCCTGAAGTCCCCATGTGGTCTGGCCTGTCCGTGGTGTGATGTCGACAGAGCGTCATGATACACACCCTAAAGTAGGGCTGCTCGGTTATGGCAAACATCATAATCTCGATTATTTGGGTCAATAATTAATATCACGATTATTAAAAACAATTATCAATTTACTTTGAAAACATCAATAAAACATGTGAACAGTATGTTTTTAACAGTTGATTACCTTGAACTTTAAGTATCAACTGAAAAACCAATAAAAATAGAAAAGAAAATAATAATAACAATTAAAATTAAAATCGTTTTCTTTCTATTATGTTGTTTTCATAATCGTTGCAAGCCAAAACCGTAATTGCGATTAAAATACGATTAATTGAGCAGCCCTACTCTAAAGTCACAGTTTCAACAGTTTCCTCCATTAAATCCCAGGTTTAAAGCCTTTCCTCCTGAAACCCCCCGTGTTTAAAGCCCCTGCCCCCCCCCACTTGTGTTCACGGGTTCAGTCTGAGAGAATAAACCCACAGAATCTGAAATATAAACTCTTAATTTCACATTAAAGCTTTAAAAAGAGACGCGCTTACCGTGAGTTCAGCAGAAACACAACAAACACCGAGCCCGGAAGTGGGAGTCAGCTGACCGCCCAGCACGTGATGACGCACCACGTCACCGGATCACGTGGTGATTAACGTCCAATCAGTTTATTTGTGTTTGTTTATTCATTTTTTTGATTGAGAAAATATATTAAAATAATGTATTTTAAATAATAAAAATAGGAACAATTAGTGCAAGTGTTGTATATTCAAAACGAAACGACAGAATGGAGAAATTAATAGATACAAATAAAAAAGGGATATTAAGGTATAGTGTTTGTTATTGTGATCATGTGTTCGGACTTTATGGCCCTTTCTCATTTCTCAAACTCCCCTCCTCGACTCCTATCCTCGATACTTAGTCCCGCCCACAGGAGATGCGAGCCGAGGAACCGAGGAGAGAGGAGGGGAAGCAGCAGGCGGTTAGAGGAAGGAGAACTCCTCTCCTCTGAGCGGTCATTTTAAAGAGACGTCCATTAATGATGACAGGAGGCAGCAGCCCTCTGTCTGATGGACAGATGTGTTCATGATGACTTCTATATTTACTTTGATTCATTCACAGTGCGGTGTAATGAGACGATAACAGCTACAGATGCGGACACACACACACACACACCCCCCCCCCCCCCATCCCCTCTCTGGTCGCTACAATGAGGAAAATAAATTACGGGCCAAAGTTGTACAAGTATTAAAAGTAAGCAGAGGACACCAAACCAACTGAGACCTGTCTGTCCGCTGCATCTACGCACACACTGTACCACACACACCTACACCACACACACGCACAGTTCATAACACAGGCTACAGCCGTTGTGTATTTTATTTTGTGAAGCACTAAATTGTTTTAGAAAAATATGGACTCTTTGTTTGTAGATATCTACTAAACTACAGCAAATACAGAGAGTAATGTAGGCCTGTTATACTGAGTGATATCTATGATACACACTGCTCTGCTTTCTGTACGGACCTCACAGCTGTTCTCTCTGGAAACATCGCGTCGATGAAAGCAGTTAATAAAATAATATCCAGGGGATGCATGCAGAGCTGTCATTGGCTGAGATCAGTCCGGCCGTGCGTCACGACTCTTTGAAACATCTCTGTTCCCGGAAATACATCCACGAAGGAGCCGAGGAGGAGCCATCAGTGTATCCTCGGTTAGAGCTCCTCCAGAGAGCCTCCTCGACGCTCGATCCTCGGTCCTCGAAGTGCATTTAGAGAAATGAGATGTCCTTCAACATGGCGCGCTGAAATTCATTTCCGGGTCACTACCGGAGGACCGAGGAGTCGAGGAGTCGAGGAGGGGGATTTGATTAAATGAGAAAGGGCCTATGTCTTGAAACTAATTATTTGATGTGAATTGCTTTATCTTTAAATACTGTGATGACAAGTTTTGTTTGATGTTATTTCGCTTTCATTTTACCATTGCTCAAAAAACGCAATTTACTGAAACTCGACTCTTCTTTAAAATCAAACAAAAAAGGGTATCAATAAAAAACAAAACAACAACAACACTTTTATAAAACTATAAAAGCTTAATAATATGTTTCTGGACCAGCTTCAATAAATCAGACACATGTTTCCTAAACTTTTATTTTGACAATTTGTATAACTTTTTAACCAATAAATGAACATCTGTTTTGAATAATGACAGAAACCCTGAGAGACGCTCAGCGGCGTTTACCTCTCTTTCCACCACAGAGGGTGACAGGAAAGGCTCACTGCGTACGGAACCAAGAATCATCTTGGTTCTTGGTTTGGTACGCAGTGAGCGTACCAAACGCTCTCCTTCTGGCACGAACACACAAACACACAAACACACCAACACACGAATACATGAAGGGAAGTGATAATGACAGAAACATAGATCAGGAAAACAGCTGGTTTTAACATACATCAATAAAGTCATATTATAAATCATTTAAACAAACAAACTTTTATTTTGTGTGTGAGTGAGTCTGTGAGTGTGTGTGTGTTGGTGTGTGTGTGTGTGAGTGTGTGTGTGTGAGCGTATATGTGTGTGTGGGTGTGAGTGTGTGAGAGTGTGTGTGTGAGTGTGTGTGTGAGAGTGTGAGTCTGTGTGTGCGTGAGTGTGTGTGTGTGTGTGTGTGTGTGTGTGTGTGTGTGTCAGGGTTTGCTGAACACCCCCACAGGAAAGTGTTTGACGTGAGTCGGCCACTGAGCGGCGAGCTGGAAGAACCGGACGTCTCTCCATTCAACTCCGTCTACTGAGACTGAGACAGACAGGAAGTCATTCACTGTGTGTGTGTGTGTGTGTGTGTGTGTGTGTGTGTGTGTGTGTGAGTGTGTGTGTGAGTGTGTACCTCTCAGTGTGTGTTGGTGTTTGGAGGTACAGATCAGTCGACTGATTCCTTCGATCAGCTGACTCCTCGACTCCGCCTCCTTCTCCCTCGTCTTCTTACTGAGGAACATGACTGACACACACACACACACACACACACACACACACACACACACACACACACACACACACACACACACACACACACACACACACACACACACACACAATTCAAAAGGACTTAGGAGAAGAGACCGCGGTACTTTAGAGAATCGACTGCACTTTCACTATCCCACGTGTTTATGATGCTCCAGCGGACGTCCTGAATGAGCGTCTGCTGCTGTGGGGAAACTATGGAGACTACAGTTCTCTATACAGCGGACTACAACATGGATGTTCAATAAGAACGAGGGACTCCTGTGAACTCATCTAGAGACTCTGTGCTCTGATGCTGCTGCTTTATGCTTTATGAACGGGGACAACAGAGAAACAGATTCTTCAGGACCAAAGCTGGAATTGAAATAAAAAAGGAAAGTGAAGCTTCTGCTCGTCCCCCTCTCCCTCCGGTCCACATTAATACAAATGATCCCAATACGTATGATTGATGAAAATATCTTAAATCAATACAGATGTATTTATTATAAACGTTAGTCCTTAACATCTATCTCTGTGTATATCACCATTCAAACATCTTTTACAAGTTGAACAAACCCCACACAGCTCAGTAAAGACTGTGAGATGTTGACTTTATTTGATCATTTCAGTAAAAACTAACGTTCATATTTCTCTCTTTGATTATAATACTGATGAACGTTCAGAACAAAGCACTTTGGCAACTTACCACATACGTTTTAAAATGCTTAATAAGCACCGTAACTTTCATGATATCATTTCTCCGTCATATGCTGCGGCTGCAATGCATTGTGGGGCAGCATTTTCTCCTCTCTTTTCGGTTAGGGAGGTCCAGTGGTTCCTAAGCTAAAGGAGGTTATAAAGGACGTTTGAAACCTCCTTTCCTATCATCTAGAGCAGGGGTTTTCAAAGTGTGAGGCGCAGGCGCGCCCCGGGGGGCGCCAGAGAGCTTCCGGGGAGGGGCAGCGGGAGAAAAGAATAACGAGAAACAGCGAAATGTAGCTCATTAACTTCAGCTAACTTTATGCGAGCGGCAACATGGATCCATTTTCAGTGAAGTTACCTAAAGTGAGAGAGGAGACAGCATCTGTGGAGACCGAGTTCACCCACCTCACCAACAAGGCAGTATGCTCACTCCCTTCACCTCCACCTACCTGTGTGAGTGCTCACTCCCTTCACCTCCACCTGCCTCTGTGAGTGCTCATTCCCTTCACCTCCACCTACCTGTGTGAGTGCTCACTCCCTTCACCTCCACCTGCCTGTGTGAGTGCTCACTCCCTTCACCTCCACCTACCTGTGTGAGTGCTCATTCCCTTCACCTCCAGCTACCTGTGAGAGTGCTCACTCCCTTCACCTCCACCTACCTGTGTGAGTGCTCACTCCCTTCACCTCCACCTACCTGTGAGAGTGCTCACTCCCTTCACCTCCACCTACCTGTGTGAGTGCTCACTCCCTTCACCTCCACCTACCTGTGTGAGTGCTCATTCCCTTCACCTCCACCCACCTGTGAGAGTGCTCATTCCCTTCACCTCCACCCACCTGTGAGAGTGCTCACTCCCTTCACCTCCACCTACCTGTGTGAGTGCGGGTTTTCCGCATTGACTTTGATCAAAAGCAAGTGCCGGACAAGCAGGGGCGGATCTACCGGGGGGGCATGGAGTGGCAACTGCCACTCTAGAAATAGCCTTGCCACCCCAGCTGGCAGCTTTGTTTTGAAAGAAAAGTTGTGGCTCATCGGACATTTATGAGAGAAAGTCTCTAATGTCCGAGTGCAAGTGAATGCAGCACAAGATGCACGTCATGTGACCCCTCCCCCAGTCCTGGCGCGAGCGTGGAAATGTGATTGGCGGCGATTTCATTTGAACCGGACGGCGCAAAACGAGAAGCATTTCGGATCCAAGCAGACGGAAGGAATGAGGTGCGGTCTACGATGACAGAGAAGAGCCTGTCAGTGCGGCTGCACTCAGCATTGAAACAAAACGCACTAAAGCTTTGGATCTTAATAAGTTTGTGAGGCGTGTTGCTGAACAACATGGTAATCACCACATTCAGCTGTTATAGGCAACTTGATGCTCTGCTCACGGATGACTCGATGAGCGTAAACAACTGTTAAGATGATGAGCTTACGTGTGTGAATATGTATTTTTCTTTGTGGGGTTCTGCCCCCAAAAAACACTGTTAAGTCCTGAGAAAGTCAAATCAGACGGTGTGTACAACTACACTGCCCACAGAAAGTAACCACTTAGAACCAGACGTAAGGGCTTTCCACTGGATCATAATACCCCTGCATTATAGCAGCAACAACAACAACAACAACAATAATAATAATAATAATAATAATAATAATAATTGGGAGGGGGGCGTGGCTGTTCTTATGTTCTCTGAGGCTCCCCTTCCCACACTTTGAAAGCCCTGGTAGGATCAGCTCTTATCCTGGCTGCCACTGAGGGACCTTCGGGTCATTTCACTCCGTCAGGAAGGTTCCTGAGAGAAACTGACTATTCGACTGCAGCCCCCTGTCCTGTTCCAGTTAGGGTCCCTCTTCCTCCCCTCCCTCCTCTTCCTCCTCTTCCTCACCTCTCTTGTTCTTCTCTCTGGTCACCACCGTCATGCTCATCAGCTCGCCCCCCCCACTGATCCTGGACACCTGCAGGCAGCGGAAGTTACTCTTCAGGCTGTTCTTCATCCCAACCTCCCTCCCTCCTCTTCCTCCTCCTCCTCCTCCTCCTCCTCCTCCTCCTCCTCCTCCTCCTCCTCCTCCTCCTCCTCCTCCTCCTCCTCCTCCTCCTCCTCCTCCTCCCTGGCTCCAGTAGTCGACCTGCAGATCCTTCACCTCCCCCAGACAGCTGCACAGAGCGAGGAAGAGGAGGAGTTAGGATTCTTATCTTATAGTCAGATCATAGAGTCCTGCTGTGAACCTGAGATGTTGAGACCCCACAGTGTTATTACATTACATGACATTACATTTAGCTGACGCTTCTATCCAAAGCGACTTACAGCAAGATACAAACTTGAAGAAAACAGAATCATATACAGTGGGGCAAAAAAGTATTTAGTCAGCCACCAATTGTGCAAGTTCTCCCACTTAAAAAGATGAGAGGCCTGTAATTCACATCCTAGGAACACTTCAACTATGAGAGACAGAATGGGGGGGGGGGAAATCCAGGAAATCACATTGTAGGATTTTTAATGAATTCATTGGTAAATTCCTCGGTAAAATAAGTATTTGGTCACCTACAAACAAACAAGATTTCTGGCTCTCACAGACCTGTAACTTCTTCTTTAAGAGCCTCCTCTGTCCTCCACTCGTTAACTGTATTAATGGCACCTGTTTGAACTCGTTATCAGTATAAAAGACACCTGTCCACAACCTCAAACAGTCACACTCCAAACTCCACTATGGCCAAGACCAAAGAGCTGTCAAAGGACACCAGAAACACAATGGTAGACCTGCACCAGGCTGGGAAGACTGAATCTGCAATAGGTAAGCAGCTTGGTGTGAAGAAATCAACTGTGGGAGCAATTATTAGAAAATGGAAGACATACAAGACCACTGATAATCTCCCTCGATCTGGGGCTCCACGCAAGATCTCACCCCGTGGGGTCAAAATGATCACAAGAACGGTGAGCAAAAATCCCAGAACCACACGGGGGGACCTAGTCAATGACCTGCAGAGAGCTGGGACCAAAGTAACAAAGGCTACCATCAGTAACACACTACGCCGCCAGGGACTCAAACCCTGCAGTGCCAGACGTGTCCCCCTGCTTAAGCCAGTACATGTCCGGGCCCGTCTGAAGTTTGCTAGAGAGCATTTAGATGACCCAGAAGAGGATTGGGAGAATGTCATATGGTCAGATGAAACCAAAATAGAACTCTTTGGTAAAAACTCAACTAGACGTGTTTGGAGGAGAAAGAATGCTGAGCTGCATCCAAAGAACACCTACTGTGAAACATGGGGGTGGAAACATCAAGCTTTGGGGCTGTGTTTCTGCAAAGGGACCAGGACCACTGATCCGTGTAAAGGAAAGAATGAATGGGGCCATGTATCGTGAGATTTTGAGTGACAACCTCCTTCCATCAGCAAGGGCATTGAAGATGAAACGTGGCTGGGTCTTTCAGCATGACAATGATCCCAAACACACCGCCCGGGCAATGAAGGAGTGGCTTCGTAAGAAGCATTTCAAGGTCCTGGAGTGGCCTAGCCAGTCTCCAGATCTCAACCCCATAGAAAATCTTTGGAGGGAGTTGAAAGTCCGTGTTGCCCAGCGACAGCCCCAAAACATCACTAGAGGAGATCTGCATGGAGGAATGGGCCAACATACCAGCAACAGTGTGTGAACACCTTGTGAAGACTTACAGAAAACGTTTGACCTCTGTCATTGCCAACAAAGGGTATATAACAAAGTATTGAGATGAACTTTTGTTATTGACCAAATACTTGTTTTCCACCATCATTTACCAATTAATTCATTAAAAATCCTACAATGTGTTTTCCTGGATTATTTCCCCCCATTCTGTCTCTCATAGTTGAAGTGTACCTAGGATGTCATTACAGGCCTCTCTCATCATGGGAGAACTTGCACAATTGGTGGCTGACTAAATACTTTTTTGCCCCACTGTAGGTACATCACAGTGGCGAGCCGTGACTTTTATACCTACCTCGATGAACTACATCTCTGGTCTCGCAGAATACGCGTCACCAACACAAAGATGGCCGTCACGTTAACACATTTCACTACAAGTCTGGGCGTGTTGAGAGTCTGGGCGTGTTGAGAGTCTGGGCGTGTTGAGAGTCTGTGCATGTTGAGAGTCTGGGCGTGTTGAGAGTATGGGCGTGTTGAGAGTCTGAGCGTGTTGAGAGTCTGGGCGTGTTGAGAGTCTGGGCGTGTTGAGAGTATGGTCATGTTGAGAGTCTGGGTGTGTTGAGAGTCTGGGCGTGTTGAGAGTCTGGGCGTGTTGAGAGTCTGGGCATGTTGAGAGTCTGGGCGTGTTGAGAGTCTGGTCATGTTGAGAGTCTGGGCGTGTTGAGAGTATGGGCGTGTTGAGAGTCTGAGCGTGTTGAGAGTATGGTCATGTTGAGAGTCTGGGTGTGTTGAGAGTCTGGGCGTGTTGAGAGTCTGGAAGTGTTGAGAGTCTGGGCATGTTGAGAGTCTGGGCGTGTTGAGAGTCTGGTCATGTTGAGAGTCTGGGTGTGTTGAGAGTCTGGGCGTGTTGAGAGTCTGGGCGTGTTGAGAGTCTGGGCATGTTGAGAGTCTGGACGTGTTGAGAGTCTGGGCGTGTTGAGAGTCTGTGCATGTTGAGAGTCTGGGCGTGTTGAGAGTATGGGCGTGTTGAGAGTCTGAGCGTGTTGAGAGTCTGGGCGTGTTGAGAGTCTGGGCGTGTTGAGAGTATGGTCATGTTGAGAGTCTGGGTGTGTTGAGAGTCTGGGCGTGTTGAGAGTCTGGGCGTGTTGAGAGTCTGGGCATGTTGAGAGTCTGGGCGTGTTGAGAGTCTGGTCATGTTGAGAGTCTGGGCGTGTTGAGAGTCTGGGCGTGTTGAGAGTCTGGGCATGTTGAGAGTCTGGGCATTTTGTGACTCTGGGCATGTTGGGCATGTTGAGACTGAGTCTGGGCGTGTTGAGAGTCTGGGCATGTTGAGAGTCTGGGCGTGTTGAGAGTCTGGGCGTGTTGAGAGTCTGGGCGTGTTGAGAGTATGGTCATGTTGAGAGTCTGGGCGTGTTGAGAGTCTGGGCGTGTTGAGAGTCTGGGCGTGTTGAGAGTCTGGGCGTGTTGAGAGTCTGGGCGTGTTGGGCATGTTGAGACTGAGTGTGGGCATGTTGAGAGTCTGGGCGTGTTGAGAGTCTGGGCGTGTTGAGAGTCTGGGCGTGTTGGGCATGTTGAGACTGAGTGTGGGCATGTTGAGAGTCTGGGCGTGTTGAGAGTCTGGGCGTGTTGAGAGTCTGGGCGTGTTGAGAGTCTGGGCATGTTGAGACTCTGGTTATGTTGAGCATGTTGAGAGTCTGGGCGTGTTGAGAGTCTGGGCATGTTGAGAGTCTGGGCATGTTGAGACTCTCGGCATGTTGGGCATGTTGAGAGTCTGGGCATGTTGAGAGCCACAGAGCCTCATGAGAGCCGGAGTGAAACGCAGCGTGTGGAGACTCCCTCACAGCCCTTTCGGAGGGCTCTGTGGCTCGTCGCCACGACAACCATGACACATCTCGAGCATGTGCGCCCGCTCTCAGAGTGTTTCTCAGAGTGGCAGCGCGTGTGTCTGATGGACAGATGGATGAGCAGGCTGATCAGCAGAGGGTAGCCTACACCTTGCGCCGTTCTCAGCGCCTGTTTGTGCACTATAGAGAGCGCTCGATCCGCAGCCTCTGTCTACACAACGGCTGTCACACTGGCTGTGTGAGGCTGTGTCACAGGCGTATGTCTCCTCTGGGGTGGAGCCCCCGGAGAACATCAGTGCGCACTCCACCAGAGGAATTTCCTCCTCCACGGCGTTGCACGGAGGAATGTCAGTGGAAGACATTTGCACTGCTGCATCTTGGTCTTCCCCCTGTTCATTTACTCAATTGTATTTGAGGGATGTCTCCCTTTCCTCTCTGACGCACCCTGTACTGGGTGTCCTGTCAGAGTGAGTGACGTCAGGGATCCAGCTGGGCGCTCTCCTGCCTGTCTGACACGCAGAGAGCTGCTGTTCCCCCTCTTTTTGTCACTGGGCAAAGTGTGACCTTCGCCTCTACTTTCTCACAGCGGCAGGTTTGTATTGTTCCCAGCCTTCCTATTTATACCGGAAGGGAGCCCGAGGGTGGGGCCCACCTTGCGGGCGGGCGTGGACTACAAGTGTTTCAGTGCTGCGCGGGGGCGCAGGGGGATTACCCAATAGCGATAGCCTTAGAGGGCGACGCCAATACTCATAGATGCTGGAGTTACAGTAGGTAATCTGGCAATGTGTAACGTTAATGTCAGCTAGCTAACATTAGCTAACAAGGTACACTAACGTGTTTTGTTTTAGTAACTAGTTTTCTTGTTAAGAACTTCGTGGTCTCTGTGTATGCTGTGGATAACATTAGTGTTCACAAGAACAAGGTACACTCCCGTGTTTTGTTTTAGTTGCTCTTCAGATTGAAGCGGCCAGTTTTATATCGACTATACTGTATGTGTGATCTCCTTTTTCTCGTTGTGTCATTTGAGTTTATTTGCTGTGTGTAGATTCAAGGATTTTGGTTATCTTGTCAATTTGTTTGGTTATCTAGGCACAGCTGTGTGTGACTCCCTCTGGTACACTGGTATGTGTTTTCCTAATGTAGAGAGCATTGATTTAATTAATAAACTACACACTGAGTCTAGATCCTGACCATCCTTTTTTTTGTTGATCAAATGTTTTCATTATTAAGACCTGGTCTGCCAGCAGGATGCCCTCCACTTTCCATCCAGCGAAATACACAATGGAGCCCTCAAAGCGCTCCACCAACCCCGCCACCCTTTTAAACATGGCCTGATCAGGAAGCCCTGTTTCCATTCGGATGACATCATCTGGTAAACCTGCTGCTGAATATTTTGCCATTCTCTTACAATTATCCCCTGCCAGGTCTTCGGAACAACTGGACTGCATGCTGGAGGGTCCAGGTTCTGCATCTGAGGACTGCACGCTGGAGGGTCCAGGTTCGGCATCTGAGGACTGCACGCTGGAGGGTCCAGGTTCTGCATCTGAGGACTGCACGCTGGAGGGTCCAGGTTCGGCGTCTGAGGACTGCACGCTGGAGGGTCCAGGTTCGGCATCTGAGGACTGCACGCTGGAGGGTCCAGGTTCGGCATCTGAGGACTGCACGCTGGAGGGTCCAGGTTCGGCGTCTGAGGACTGCACGCTGGAGGGTCCAGGTTCGGCGTCTGAGGACTGCACGCTGGAGGGTCCAGGTTCGGCGTCTGAGGACTGCACGCTGGAGGGTCCAGGTTCGGCGTCTGAGGACTGCACGCTGGAGGGTTCGGGGTCAGTTTTTTCGAAATAAGGTCCCGTGGAGGCTCCCGGAAGGGGAGGGACTTCGCCTCTCTATAGCTGGCCCTCTGTGAATCTACAGAAGGACCAACAAGCTCTCCCGTCTTCACAGTAACTCGCAGACGGCATTTAACCCTTCACATTCCAACAGAAACTGAACAGGCAGATTCGATGGATTTATTTATTTGGCAATGTTATTTTAAATACATTTACGTCAAGTTATTTTGGTAAAACTAATGAAACATTTAACAACAACAAAAATATTGAAAAAAAATATTGAAATATTTTTTTTTTAATGTTTTCAAATATTATTTTTTAGAATATCTTAGGCCCTCACAGAGGGCCAGAGGGCCCTGACGGCTCGCCACTGGTACATCAGGTTTCATAGAGCCAAATATTTCAAGTGCTACTCAACTGGCTTTAGATAAGCCAGTCCTTTATTAGTATATAAGTGCTTTGTTAGTAGTTCTATCGCTCGAAGTGGAGTCGAAAGAGATGAGTTTTCAGTTTGCGCCAGAAGGTGTGCAAGCTTTCTGCTGTCCTGATGTCAATGGGGAGCTCATTCCACCATCTTGGAGCCAGGACAGCAAACCCACGTGTTTTTGCTGATGGGAACTTGGGTCCCCCTCGCAGCGAGGGTGCAGCGAGTCGTTTGGCTGATGCAGAGCGTAGTGCACGCGCTGGGGTGTACGGTTTAACCATGTCCTGGATGTACGAAGGGCCAGATCCATTCACAGCATGGTACGCAAGTACCAGTGTCTTGAAGTGGATTCTAGCAGTTACCGGAAGCCAGTGGAGGGAGCGGAGGAGCGGAGTGGTGTGGGAACATTTAGGAAGGTTGAAAACCAGACGAGCCGCTGCATTCTGGATGAGCTGCAGAGGTCGGATGGCACGTGCAGGTAGACCAGCCAGTTATTTTATAAATGCAAAGTAGGGTCTCCAGAACATAAAAGCTGCCGGATGATAACCTGCATGCGTTTGGACATTTACACAATTAGCATAAATTGCATTAATTAGCATTATAGTCTCTGTTGACAATTATAAAAATGGACTTGGTTGATCTGGACAATTTTGACAGTCCCCTGTAACCAGAGAGGCCAGAGGGTGGGCTGATTGTGACACATTTTGGGTCGATTTTGAAGTTAACGGGGACAGAATGCTTATCCATCCATCCATCCATCTTCTCCCGCTTATCCGTGGTCGGGTCGCGGGGGGTAGCAGTTCCAGCAGAGAGCCCCAAACTTTCTTTTCCCTGGCGACATCAACCAGCTCTGACTGGGGGATCCCAAGGCGCTCCCAGGCCAGCGAAGAGATATAATCCCTCCACCTGGTCCTAGGTCTACCCCTTGGTCTCTTCCCAGCTGGACGTGCCTGGAACACCTCCCTAGGGAGGCGCCCAGGTGGCATCCTAACTAGGTGCCCGAACCACCTCAACTGGCTCCTTTCGACGCGAAGGAGGAGCGGCTCAACTCCGAGTCCCTCCCTGATGACCGAACTTCTCACCTTATCCCTAAGGGAGACACCAGCCACCCTGCGGAGAAAAACCCATCTCGGCCGCTTGTATCCGCGATCTCGTTCTTTCGGTCATGACCCATCCTTCATGACCATAGGTGAGGGTAGGAACGAAAATGGCCCGGTAGACAGAGAGCTTTGCCTTCTGGCTCGGCTCCCTTTTCGTCACAACGGTGCGGTAAAGCGACTGCAGTACCGCTCCCGCTGCTCCGATTCTCCGGCCCATCTCACGCTCCATTGTTCCCTCACTCGAGAACAAGACCCCGAGATACTTGAACTCCTTCACTTGGGGTAAGGACTCATTCCCTACTTGAAGTGGACAGTCCATCGGTTTCCTGCTGAGAACCATGGCCTCAGATTTGGAGGTGCTGATCCTCATCCCAGCCGCTTCACACTCGGTTGCGAACCGATCCAGTGCGTGCCTTCAGAATGCTTATATAGTTTTAAAATAATTGTATAATTGTATAATAATAATAATAATCTTGTGCTCTCTATCCAATGATCACAACACTCCTCATGGTAATCATAATCAGAACATCCAGAGTCAAATTGCGCCACTTTCTGGTTAAGACTGACATTGTTTTATCCGGACTGGAGCCCAAAGCCATTTTGTAACTATTGTCTGCATATTTTAATTTATTGTTCCATTTGACAGAATCAGAAATCCTCAATGTGTCCCGCCACGGGGAAATGCACATGATTACAACAGCAGATAAAGTGAGGAAAGAAATAAAAAAAATGGCTAAGTATGCACACGTTATTAAAAACAAAATGACACAGGAAGCACCTGGTGGAGGGGGAGGGAGGAGGAGTGATGGGAGCTCCTGATTGGCTGGGAGGAGATCCCAGGATGATGTCACCAGAGTCAACTGTTGGGGGGACAACGAAAACATGACATCTATATAAATATATGTAACCAAGCTCTCCAGAGCAACTTAACATGAATGTTGGATTAAAATATGTTGATGTAATGCTTTTCTTTGATCAAGATAAGATTGAAATGCTGAATATCATAGAATTATTCCGTAGTTTTTTGTCTTGTTTGTCTTTGTAATGGTTTCCAGTGTGTATGTTCTTCTGTATGGAGCTAACTTCCTGCCATCACTCCACAAACAAACTAAACACGTTTTACAAATGCCTCATGATTCACTAACACACACAGCAAATACAAAACACCATCTACAAACTAATGCATTACGTTTTGCAAATAAAAAACGTCTGTCAGACAAACACATTACATTTTTCTAATAAATCATATTTAGGGTGAGGGTTAGCGTTTGTGTTTTGTATTTGCTAACCACACTGTGTTTGTTAGTGAACCATAAGGCATTTGTAAAACGTGTTTAGTTTGTGGAGTGATGGCAGGAAATGAGCTCCGTACTTCGAAAATAGTAGTAAAGCTTGAAATCAAGTTTAAATGAATACATGCGTGAAACCTGTCATCATCAGCTAAATAAAGAATCAAATGAATGAACAGAGGACAGGTGAGGCGTACGTGAGATGGAGCGGAGGTTCTGCTCCACGATGCCGACCTTCACCACCTGACACGCACACACACACACACACACACACACACACACACACACACACACACACACACACACACACACACACACACACACACACACACACACACACACACACACACACACACACACACACACACACACACACCACACACACACACACACACACAGTTTGGATTATGTTCTAAGATGTAAAAGGTTAATTCACAGTTCTGTAGTACTTGACATTTCCTCTTACCCCGATAAAAGGAACAAACTTCTGACAGTAGTCGTCGTCGGGGCTGAAGAACAAAATCAGATTCAATCAAACAAAAAGAAGAAATGTGAAATATGAACAAATCAAACAGTCTCTATCCTATCTGTCTCACTGTGATCCGTCTGATGTCCACTAGAGGCCGCTGTGGCTAACTCTGCACTCGTTTGGCATTCTAATTTCAGTAGATATTTCTTTCTTTGGCATGAAGTCAACAGTGTTACTTCTTGACAGACCCCTCACTGTGCAGCTGTAATGAAGGCGGGTCTGAGCTCTGGTTCTGACAGGCGGGCGGGTACCTCTTGTGTTTGCAGGTCAGCATGGCCTCTGATATGGGACACAGGTGAGAGACAGCCGCTCCGCTCAGGTACTGAGACACTCGCCCTGCGACACCCACAGGATCTGTCCAGCAGAGAGCACAGTTTAGACAGATGGTGCATTCAGGGCCTGTGTCATAGAGCATCATCATCCCAGCCTCCCTCAGCGTTTAACAAAAATGCTCCCAGCTCTGTTATTAAGGTTTCTATGACAGTCTTGAAAAGATAGGACCTCTCTAGGCATTGCCTTTGAGCACCAACTTGAAGACGCTTGCTGTCACATACTTACGTATATATAATACCTTGCTTTATATCTTGTTATTGTTCATTTGTAAATTCAAAATGTATTTTTTCTACTTTCTTGTTTATTTCTTGTCTTTTAATTTGTATTGTACAAATCTTTTTATGCTGCAACACAAACATTTCCCAAATTGGGATCAATAAACTACTTCTTATCTTACACTTTGTGTGGCTCTGTCTGACAGCTAAAAAGCTAAATCCAATGTCCGCCGACCAATCAGGTCAACCGAAGAGACTTCTCCATCTTCGTTATGATAGTTCTGGTCTGACATATAGAGTTCAGGATAGACTGCTGCGGCCCAAAACAAGCTTCTTATAGACTGCTGCGGCCCAAACAAGCTTCTTATAGACTGCTGCGGCCCAAACAAGCTTCTTATAGACTGCTGCGGCCCAAAACAAGCTTCTTATAGACTGCTGCGGCCCAAAACAAGCTTCTGATAGACTGCTGCGGCCCAAACAAGCTTCTTCTGGACTGCTGCGGCCCAAAACAAGCTTCTTATAGACTGCTGCGGCCCAAAACAAGCTTTTGATAGACTGCTGCGGCCCAAACAAGCTTCTTCTAGACTGCTGCGGCCCAAAACAAGCTTCTTATAGACTGCTGCGGCCCAAAACAAGCTTCTTATAGACTGCTGCGGCCCAAACAAGCTTCTTATAGACTGCTGCGGCCCAACACAAGCTTCTTATAGACTGCTGCGGCCCAAAACAAGCTTCTTATAGACTGCTGCGGCCCAAAACAAGCTTCTTATAGACTGCTGCGGCCCAACACAAGCTTCTTATAGACTGCTGCGGCCCAAAACAAGCTTCTTATAGACTGCTGCGGCCCAAACAAGGTTCTTATAGACTGCTGCGGCCCAAAACAAGCTTCTTATAGACTGCTGCGGCCCAAAACAAGCTTCTTATAGACTGCTACGGCCCGAAACAAGCTTCTTATAGACTGCTGCGGCCCAAAACAAGCTTCTTATAGACTGCTGCGGCCCAAACAAGCTTCTTATAGACTGCTGCGGCCCAAAACAAGCTTCTTATAGACTGCTGCGGCCCAAAACAAGCTTCTTCTAGACTGCTGCGGCCCAAAACAAGCTTCTTCTAGACTGCTGCGGCCCAAACAAGGTTCTTATAGACTGCTGCGGCCCAAAACAAGCTTCTTATAGACTGCTGCGGCCCAAAACAAGCTTCTTATAGACTGCTGCGGCCCAACACAAGCTTCTTCTCCATTTGATATCATTACAGCACTTTTCTGACTCGTAACCTGCGGAACACTCTGAGGGCTACAGGTCAGAGGTCAGAGGCGCTGCAGGTCAGAGGTCAGAGGCGCTGCAGGTCAGAGGTCAGAGGCGCTGCAGGTCAGAGGTCAGAGGCGCTGCAGGTCAGAGGTCAGAGGCGCTGCAGGTCAGAGGTCAGAGGCGCTGCAGGTCAGAGGCGCTGCAGGTCAGAGGCGCTGCAGGTCAGAGGCGCTGCAGGTCAGAGGTCAGAGGCGCTACAGGTCAGAGGTCAGAGGCGCTGCAGGTCAGAGGTCAGTCGTACCCAGAGCAGGAGACTCCACTCGTCCGAACAGATCCCTCCAGTCGGGATCCATGAACAGGCTGCTGAACCGGCTGTCCAGAGACGCCAGGAACTTAGCCAGAGGGTGAGCTCCTGGGGAGGGGGGAAGGTAAGGTAAGGTACGGTACGGTAAGGTAAAGTACGGTAAGGTATGGTAAGGTACGGTAAGGTACGGTAAGGTACGGTAAGGTACGGTAAGGTACGGTAAGGTATGGTAAGGTACGGTACGGTATGGTAAGGTACGGTACGGTATGGTAAGGTAAAGTACGGTAAGGTAAGGTAAAGTACGGTAAGGTATGGTAAGGTACGGTAAGGTACGGTAAGGTAAAGTACGGTAAGGTAAGGTAAAGTACGGTAAGGTATGGTAAGGTACGGTAAGGTACGGTAAGGTAAGGTAAGGTAAGGTAAAGTACGGTAAGGTAAAGTAAGGTAAGGTACGGTAAAGTAAGGTAAGGTAAGGTAAGGTAAGGTACGGTAAAGTAAGGTAAGGTAAGGTAAGGTAAGGTAAGGTACGGTAAGGTACGGTAAGGTATGGTAAGGTACGGTATGGTAAGGTAAAGTACGGTAAGGTAAGGTAAAGTACGGTAAGGTATGGTAAGGTACGGTAAGGTAAAGTACGGTAAGGTAAGGTAAAGTACGGTAAGGTATGGTAAGGTACGGTAAAGTACGGTAAGGTAAGGTAAGGTAAGGTAAAGTAAGGTAAGGTAAAGTAAGGTAAGGTAAGTAAGGTAAGGTAAGGTAAGGTAAGGTAAGTAAGGTAAGGTAAGGTAAGTAAGGTAAGGTAAAGTAAGGTAAGGTAAGGTAAGGTAAGGTAAGGTAAGGTAAAGTACGGTAAGGTAAAGTAAGGTAAGGTACGGTAAAGTAAGGTAAGGTAAGGTAAGGTAAGGTACGGTAAAGTAAGGTAAGGTAAGGTAAGGTAAGGTAAGGTAAGGTAAAGTACGGTAAGGTAAGGTAAGGTAAGGTAAAGTACGGTAAGGTAAAGTAAGGTAAGGTAAGGTAAGGTAAAGTAAGGTAAGGTATGGTAAAGTAAAGTAAGGTAAGGTATGGTACGGTAAGGTAAGGTACGGTAAGGTAAGGTAAGGTAAGGTAAGGTAAGGTAAGGTAAGGTAAGGTATAAGGTAAGGTAAGGTAAGGTAAGGTAAGGTAAGGTAAGGTAAGGTAAGGTAAGGTAAGGTAAAGTAAGGTAAGGTAAGGTAAGGTAAGGTAAGGTAAGGTAAGGTAAGGTAAGGTAAAGTAAGGTAAGGTAAGGTAAGGTAAGGTAAGGTAAAGTAAGGTAAGGTAAGGTAAGGTAAGGTAAGGTAAGGTAAAGTAAGGTATGGTATGGTAAGTAAAGTAAGGTAAGGTATGGTAAAGTAAGGTATGGTATGGTAAAGTAAGGTAAGGTATGGTAAGGTAAGGTAAGGTAAGGTACGGTAAGGTAAGGTAAGGTAAGGTAAGGTAAGGTACGGTAAAGTAAGGTAAGGTACGGTAAAGTAAGGTAAGGTACGGTAAGGTATGGTAAGGTACGCAGTGCTTGAATTGGAATGAAAAAGGTGCCAGTACTCTAAAATCAGCAACTTTTTCAAGTCAATTTTATATACACAGCCCACAAACAAGAATTTGGCTACTATAATGCTGGTGGGTTTGTCTCTTTACTACTGTATATTTTAGAAAGGTTCACTGTACTTAACATTTTTTATGATAGGCAGCGGATATGGCTAAAGCTCAGTAAGGTCAATATTAACTGAAAATATAGCAATCAAAGTCTAGATCTTCTGCTGAAGACACATGAAGCAGAGACCTTTCAGGTGAGAGCCCCTCTGGTGGTGTTCAACATTAATGACAAGGAAACAAAGCTCTGGTCAGAAGCATTTTTTATAAAAAGCTTTAACAAAATTAAGTATTTCTGTACATTTTGAATGAAATCTAACTTTCCAACTCAGAAAACGAAAAACGAAAAAGTGCCAAAAGTCTTCTCACATGGCTGAGCTGCTTTGCAATATACTTCACCACTGAAGAATACAAATATGTATAAAGTAAACTATGATGCAATCTAACTTTCCAACTCAGAAAAATGATAAAGAGCATGAACAAAGAACATGTAAAAAGAAATGCAAAATTTGCACAATATAAAATGAGAAACTGTAACTGCAAGTAACAAAGTCTGAGCCATGGTAAAGAGTTACATTGAACACCAAGCTGATCAGATAACTCCCTGGTTGGTCTGAAGTCCTTCTATCTCCAGGATCTGTACAAATCGGCACATTATGCCAAAAGTCTTCTCACTGGGTGAGCTGCTTTGCAATATACTTCACATTGTTAGAAAAGGCTCCAGAAGGCCTTGGGGACATCAGTATCAGGGGCTGGAGCTGGACAGGCTCTTTCATCAGCACTTCTCCTTCCCTTTGCCAGCCAGGACCTCACATACTGTTCCGGATTGAACTGTCCTAGTGATGGTCCATTACATTTAATGAAAACCAGGCTGGACAGTCGGCTGACAGAGAGAGCATTCCTTTTTGCAGTAAGGATATCGTTCATGCAGCTGAATGCCCGCTCACACTCACTAGTGGAGACAGCGATGGTTCGGACTGCTTTCAGTAGAGGCTCCATGGCAGCAGGTGTACGGGATGCCCTGGTTTCCTTGTATTCGCGAAAGCCCTGAACAGTCTCTCTTCTGTCCACTTTCAGCACTTCGCACAAACGTAGCACCTCTACGTCCCCATACTGTACGTCTAACTCCTCTTCAGGCCAACTTCCAGGATGGATAACTTTCATGTCCTGGATTAGCTGATTGTCCCGGGCCTCCCGGCCATGTAATGGGATTTCTCTTGTGCTGACATGAGAGGAGGTTGTGGAAGTCATTCTGTGTCTCAGATTCTCTACCATACTGCGGAAAAACTGACCTGCATGAATCTGTACAAGCCTGCCATTCTCACGCAGGGCAACACCCTTGAAGGACTTCTCAGCTAGAGCTGTATGAACTGTAGTCATGTGTGGGCCAGGCATGGTGACCATGGATTCAAAAACTCGTATTTCTCGAGTTAAGAGCCTATCTGCTGTAGGCAGTGTCATCTCTCTTTTTTGGAGTTGCCGAGAGAGGTCGCTGAGCTCTGTGAGCGCATCGTACATCAGTCCCAGATTGCTGACAAACGTTGCAGATGTGAGCACATCATCCAGGCCCTTGTACTTTGCTCTGTCTCTGGAATCCCTGCTCGTGTCGTTTGCAGCATTTGTGAAGTGATCATGAAGCACTCGGTAGTTTTCCCAGACTGCTCTGACGCTCCTTTCACTTGAAGCCACCCAGCGGATGGACAAAACACGCCCTATCACCAGGAGACGCTGTCCGACTGCTTGCGCACACTGCGCTAACTGCCTCCGATTTTTGGGGGAGGCATGGAACAAGGAATAGAGTTTGTCAAAAAAGATCTGGAAATGATTGAGCCCTGAGACCTCCTTGACCACATCCCCAACTGCCAGCTCTAGACGATGATTGGAGCAGTGCCACACAAACAGGCTTGGGAATTTACTACACAACTGGGTAGCAACGCCTGTTCTCTTCCCTAGCATGACTGAAGCCCCATCACATGCAAAAGAAACGAAACACTGACCTAAAAAGTCCTCGTTAAAATCTCTTCCAAGACACTCCATTAACGCCTTTGTGATGTCATCAGCCGTTGTTCCATCCAACTCGATCAGCTCCCAAAAAAACGTTTCGGGCTCAGCATCAGCTAATGCTGAGCGTAGACACACAACAAGCACCGTTTTACCACTAATAGTGGTAGATTCATCGACCAAAACACAGAGTTTTCTTTGCTTTTCTGTAATGTCTTTTGCCATTTTTTTCTTCAGCTCATGAGCTATGTGGTCGATGATTTCGCCACAGGTTTTATTGGAGTGCAAAACCCTGCCCACGTTCAGCCCATTCAGTTTCTGTACATTCAAATCAATTGGCATGTCTGTGAATGGCCGGCTATGTTTGCCAATTTTATATGCCGTTCGAAAAACTCTGATAGTGGTGTCTAATTCAGATTTATGCATAGACTGCACTTGATGTTGAATAGTTTCACATGAAGCAGATGTAAGGATGTCAGCAGCTTTTACATGGGCTTGTGATTCTTTATGTTCTTTGATTTTTTTTCTCAGGCTAGCTTGTTGTTTGCCCTTGTCAACACCGAAATGAGACACTGCACACTCACCCCATTCAGTTGACAGTTTCAGTCCTTGTCCAGTGTGTATTCCCAAAGATTTGACATCTCTGCATATCCGACATCCTAGCTTCTTATCTTTAAGAAGGAGCCATGCATTGGTCTTGCAAACATATTGCACCTGGTCCGTTGTCCAGCAGTCAGGTGCATCGCTTTGCCCGGTGTTGGTGGTGGCAGTTGCGCCAGCAGCAGCTAACGTTAGAGGCTCTGGAGGAGGCGGCGGAGCTAGTGCTAATGCTAATGCACTAGAACTTGGAGCAGGAGGATCAACCAAAGAAAGCTCCCCATCAGACACAATTTCCAACACAGGCACAGCATTCTCTGTATTTGAAGTTTCTTCCGGCGACAACCGCTGTCTTTTTGCACTTTTATTAATCCACGCTAACATTTTAGAAATGCTAATTTGTGACGTGACTTGCTTTCCTTCTCTCGGGGGCGTGCCTGCTCTGTTCTATCACTCTACATAGCCACCCACTGGGTGGGAGTTGCACTGCATAAACACAACACACGTGCATCTAGGTATGTAAATTGTAAAGCATTAAAACATGGTTTTACTAACAGTTTTCAGTATGTTGTTACTTCGGCATTATTATTATTATTATTATTTTGAAACGTGTATTACTATTAAATCACGGTCAAATAGGTTAATTTTGACATAGTCGTTTCCACCACAGTATTTACATGGAGAAGATAAGCCCCGCCCCCTCTCCAGCACGTTCTGTTAGAATGACAGGAGTAAACAGCTGACAGCCGCTGTGAAACTCCAGCGGTTAGAGCGATGAGAATGTCCGTTCGGCACCTCATGACGCATCTACTGAGTACCGGGCGGCTGTATATATATATATGGATGTATAATAAGAACGGCGGGAGAGTGTTGAGTACTGGCACGGTGCATGAGTACCGGAGTACCGCCAGCATGCCGGTACTGAGCAAGAAGTGCCGGTACTCCATGGGTCAGAACCAGAAGTGCCGGTACTGCGTACCGGTGAGTACCGGCCCAATTCCAGCACTGAAGGTACGGTAAGGTAAGGTACGGTAAGGTAAGGTAAGGTAAGGTAAGGTACGGTAAGGTAAGGTATGGTAAGGTACGGTAAGGTAAGGTACGGTAAAGTAAGGTAAGGTATGGTAAGGTACGGTAAGGTAAGGTACGGTAAAGTAAGGTAAGGTAAAGTAAGGTAAGGTATGGTAAGGTAAGGTACGGTAAAGTAAGGTAAGGTATGGTAAGGTAAGGTAAGGTATGGTAAGGTAAGGTATGGTAAGGTAAGGTACATTTATTTTCAGACACAAAGGCAATTCAAAGTGCTTTACATCATCATTAACACTTAACAAGAAGACAACAGAAAGGAACACAATAAATAAACATAATGGAATAACAGATTCATAAAAACCATGCATCAAAGAGATACAGAATATAGTTTAAACACAACATTGTAGAGACTAGGGGCCGGTCCAGAGACTAGGGGCAGGTCCAGAGACTAGGGGCAGGTCCAGAGACTAGGGGCCGGTCCAGAGACTAGGGGCCGGTCCAGAGACTAGGGGCAGGTCCAGAGACTAGGGGCAGGTCCAGAGACTAGGGGCCGGTCCAGAGACTAGGGGCCGGTCCAGAGACTAGGGGCAGGTCCAGAGACTAGGGGCAGGTCCAGAGACTAGGGGCAGGTCCAGAGACTAGGGGCCGGTCCAGAGACTAGGGGCAGGTCCAGAGACTAGGGGCAGGTCCAGAGACTAGGGGCAGGTCCAGAGACTAGGGGCCGGTCCAGAGACAAGGCTCAGGTCCGGAGACTAGGGGCAGGTCCAGAGACTAGGGGCAGGTCCAGAGACTAGGGGCAGGTCCAGAGACTAGGCTCAGGTCCAGAGACTAGGGGCCGGTCCAGAGACTAGGGGCAGGTCCAGAGACTAGGGTCCGGTCCAGAGACTAGGCTCGGGTCCAGAGACTAGGCTCAGGTCCAGAGACTAGGGGCCGGTCCTGAGACTACGGGCCAGTCCAGAGACTACGGGCCGGTCCAGAGACTACGGGCCGGGCCAGAGACTAGGGGCCGGTCCAGAGACTAGGGGCAGGTCCAGAGACTAGGGGCCGGTCCAGAGACTACGGGCCAGTCCAGAGACTACGGGCCGGTCCAGAGACTACGGGCCGGGCCAGAGACTAGGGGCCGGTCCAGAGACTAGGGGCCGGGCCAGAGACTAGGGGCCGGGCCAGAGACTAGGGGCCAGTCCAGAGACTAGGGGTCGGTCCTGAGACTACGGGCCAGTCCAGAGACTAGGGGTCGGTCCAGAGACGAGGGGTCGGTCCTGAGACTACGGGCCAGTCCAGAGACTAGGGGTCGGTCCAGAGATGAGGGGTCGGTCCTGAGACTAGGGGTCGGTCTAGAGACTAGGGGCACGTTGCTTGATCTTGCCACATTGAGAATTAACGGTCAAACTGTGTGGAAATCTCAAGTTAAGATCACTAACGATGCAAATAGCCGTACTAACTGAAATGCATATTGTTAGCTGTGTCTGTTAGCTGTGTCTGTTAGCTGTGTCTGTTAGCTGTGTCTGTTAGCTGTGTACATATGTAATTCAAAATAAGATATGAATACATCAGACCATTTAGGTGATAGGAAGTGTATAACATCTATACCAGGGGTCGGCAACGGGCGGACCGCGGTCCGGATCCGGACCCAGACGCCGACCTATACGGACCCGGAGCTATAATCAATACATTAATAGGGGTGGCGCCTCCCGCTTTTTTAATGCTGATTTGGGTGACTTGTGTAATTCGTGGAGAACCGAAGAGTTTTCGTTTTGGGGGTGGGGAGTCCGTCCGTCAGTCCGACTGACGGAAGACTTCTCACTTCAAAAAAGAAGAAGAAATCTAGACCGCAAAAATAATTAAACAAGCGAGTACCTGTTTTTCCTGGCCAAGGACAGGTTCCTTGAACACAACACGGGCGTAACGTGTCTTCACGTGGTATATGTCTCGTCTGAAAGGAGTGCTGACAGAGAGCACCGGAACGCCGCTCCAGCCCTTCAGATATTGCAGTAGGCTACCCATAAGGAGCCCACATGCCACAGTGTTTACGTGGCTGTGTCTTTAGTTGTAAGCACAGTGGCGATCTGTTGTTATTAGCATCTGGTTAGCTAGCTATGCTAACGAATTTAAAGAGCTTTTCTACAACCAGGTGGAAGAGAGTTCTCTCCTGAGAGGCTCAAATAACCTCAGCTCAGTGAGGTTAAGGCACACCTTGATATGATCGTTATAGTTATTAATGAGACTAAATGAAAAACAGGTATACAATACTATATGACAGTAACAAAAAAGTTGTTAAAAATAACAAGAACACAGTTTAAAAGGGGAGTGATTTGTAAAATATCCAAAAAGAAAAATATGCTTACAGTTCTGTTTCATATGGGTGTTGAGAGATGTTTCCATAGATCTCTTCATGTTGCTCTCAAAGTGCACCAGATTGATGCTTTTAACTTCAATATTTAATCTTCCCGGGGGAGCATGCCCCCGGACCCCCCTAGAGGAGGTTAGGTCCCCCCCCCCCCCACTTAAATCATGTTCACATGGATAGGATACTAAATACATTTGCACACATCTTGTGTCCATATCTTTCTGTTTTGGTGGTCATGCCACACCGTGCACGTGCATGCATGCCACACCGTGCACGTGCATGCATGCCACACCGTGCACGTGCATGCATGCCACACCGTGCGCATGCATGCATGCCACACCGTGCACGTGCATGCATGCCACACCGTGCACATGCCTGCATGCGTGAGTCATGGTGAGATATCTGGATTCAGAGGTTGCTTTTTCTTTGCACAGAATGAAAGAAAGGCCAAATTAATGGGCTGTGATTTTAGTTTAGTTTTAAGCAAAGGTTGAGTTCAATCATTTGTACGACCCTCGGAGGATGTTGTAAAAATGTAAAGGAAAAAGGTTCCCCACCCCTGCTGTAAATAATAATAAAAACCCTTGATTTATAACTTAACATCTCTGTCTCCTATTGATCTGAGTATATGATAAAGAATAGTTAATTGAAGCATTATAGCACAGGTCTTTGTCAGATAGTATTACGCTGTTTTTGTTCTGCTTCGAAGAGTTCTCTCTTTTTTCACCTACCTGTGTTTGCATCCCTGAAACCAATGAGCACCTGCATGTGTGTGAGAATGGCCCTGACTCCATGTCAACCCAGATTTACAAACTCCTGGCAGGACAATAAGCTCAATTCTCACACTGAATTTAAAAAAAGTAAGTGAGGGACTGCAATATAAGAGGGAAAGAAAGAGAAACTTTAAACTGTTCAATTGCTATGATGTAAAGACTGATATTGTTCTATAATCGTCTGAAACTGTTAAGTCATGATGTGAAACGGTTAACAAAGAAAAAGGGAAACTCAAGCTGCTGCTACACTTTATTTTATTTATCTAAAATTAAGCAATTTTAAGATGCACATATTTTCAAAAGCTATTTTATTTATTTTCTCTATTTTATTTGTAAATGCCGCCCGAGAGGAACATTACACATATCCACAGTATTTACTGTATATCTGTAGAGTTCAATGTTAATGGACAATAAGTATTCTTGTTTTTGAATTGTACTTTCTTTATTTGATTGGCAGTCAGTTGTTGATTACATGCAGACGTTGATAAAGCTACAGGTCACTTCAATATATATCACACTAATTCATAAAGCAACTTAGACATGTTGATGTTCCGGACCTTTGCATGGGGAGATTTTCTCTAACTGGACCTCGTTGAATATTAGTTGAATACCCCTGATCTATACGCTGTGAGCCCGCCTATACGTACCGATGGGGAGGATGAGGAAGCGGACGTAGTTCAGCCAATCAGGCGTCTTGCTGGCCATCTGCTCCACGAAGCAGCAGAGCACGGTGCTCAGGTAGGTCTGGTCTCCGGCCACCGCCACCTTCAGGGTGGGGGGGGGTGTGCGAGTTACAGTTACAGCTGAAACACACATGTACGTCACATCACAATATATTCATATAATACTCAAGATTCATCGGAGAACCTCTCCACGATTCAACTTCAGTGTATGTGTTTGCTTGATTTATTGAGTTGCAATGCTGCACTGATGCTGTCATGAGTCTGCATTTCATCACTTCCTGTCCACTGGTCTGGAGGTCAATGGTTTTCTGAATGTGTTTTTAGTTGTTTTCCTGAAATAAGGTCTCTGGTTAACACAAGCTGAAGAGATGTTAACGTTTTGTTTTACGAAATATAATACGTCAATAAATGCCCCACTGGTGAATTTAAAAATGGAGGTTAGTAACACGTGTCTAAATTAGATGACTAAACGCCATCACGCCCAACATTAGCCACCTATAGCTTAGCGGTGGTGACGTGAAGTCATGTGACCGTGCTGTAGTTCCTTTATAGCCCAACATTAGCCGCCTTTAGCTTAGCGGTGGTAACGTGAAGTCATGTGACCGTGCTGTAGTTCCTTTATAGCCCAACATTAGCCTCCTTTAGCTTAGCGGTGGTGACGTGAAGTCATGTGACTGTGCTGTAGTTCCTTTATAGCCCAACATTAGCCACCTTTAGCTTAGCGGTGGTGACGTGAAGTCATGTGACCGCGCTGTAGTTCCTTTATAGCCCAACATTAGCCACCTTTAGCTTAGCGGTGGTGACGTGAAGTCATGTGACCGCGCTGTAGTTCCTTTATAGCCCAACATTAGCCACCTTTAGCTTAGCGGTGGTGACGTGAAGTCACGTGACCGTGCTGTAGTTCCTTATAGTCCAACATTAGCCTCCTTTAGCTTAGCGGTGGTGACGTGAAGTCATGTGACCGTGCTGTAGTTCCTTTATAGCCCAACATTAGCCACCTTTAGCTTAGCGGTGGTGACATGAAGTCATGTGACCGTGCTGTAGTTCCTTTATAGCCCAACATTAGCCACCTTTAACTTAGCGGTGGTGACGTGAAGTCATGTGACCGCGCTGTAGTTCCTTTATAGCCCAACATTAGCCACCTATAGCTTAGCGGTGGTGACGTGAAGTCATGTGACCGTGCTGTAGTTCCTTTATAGCCCAACATTAGCCACCTTTAGCTTAGCGGTGGTGACGTGAAGTCATGTGACCGTGCTGTAGTTCCTTTATAGCTCAACATTAGCCACCTTTAGCTTAGCGGTGGTGACGTGAAGTCATGTGACCGTGCTGTTGTTCCTTTATAGCCCAACATTAGCCACCTTTAGCTTAGCGGTTGTGACGTGAAGTCATGTGACCGTGCTGTAGTTCCTTTATAGCCCAACATTAGCCACCTTTAGCTTAGCGGTTGTGACGTGAAGTCATGTGACCGTGCTGTTGTTCCTTTATAGCCCAACATTAGCCACCTTTAGCTTAGCGGTTGTGACGTGAAGTCATGTGACCGTGCTGTAGTTCCTTTATAGCCCAATTATTACATTGCATTTAGCTGACGCTTTTATCCAAAGCGACTTACAATAAGTACATTCGACCAGGAAGACACAACCTTGAAGAAAACAGAATCATAAAGTACATCAGGTTTCATAGAGCCAAACATTTCAAGTGCTACTCAACTGGCTTTAGGTAAGCCAGTCCTTTATTAGTATATAAGTGCTTTGTTAATAGTTCTATCGCTCGAAGTGGAGTCGAAAGAGATGAGTTTTCAGTCTGGAAGGTGTGTAAGCTTTCTGCTGTCCTGATGTCAATGGGGAGCTCATTCCACCATCTTGGAGCCAGGACAGCAAACCCACGTGTTTTTGCTGATGGGAACTTGGGTCCCCCTCGCAGCGAGGGTGCAGCGAGTCGTTTGGCTGATGCAGAGCGTAGTGCACGCGCTGGGGTGTACAGTTTAACCATGTCCTGGATGTAGGAAGGGCCAGATCCATTCGCAGCATGGTACGCAAGTACCAGTGTCTTGAAGTGGATTCTAGCAGTTATCGGAAGCCAGTGAAGGGAGCGGAGGAGCGGAGTGGTGTGGGAACATTTAGGAAGGTTGAAGACCAGACGAGCCGCTGCATTCTGGATGAGCTGCAGAGGTCGGATGGCTCATGCAGGTAGACCAGCCAGGAGGGAGTTGCAGTAGTCTAGGCGTGAGGTGACGAGAGCCTGGACCAGTACCTGAGTCGCTTTCTGGGTCAGCTGGGGACGTATCTTCCTGATGTTGTAAAGCGTGTATCTGCAGCAACGGGTTGTAGCAGCGATGTTTGCAGTGAAGGACAGGTTGTTATCTAGGGTCACACCCAGATTCCTTGCAGTCTGAGTCGGGGAAACAACAGAGGTGCCGATGTTGATTGTTAGGTCAAGATTGGGAGAATCTTTTCCCGGAAGGAAAAGCAGTTCAGTCTTGTCAAGGTTGAGCTTGAGGTGATGAGCAGACATCCACTGAGAGATGTCAGCTAGACAAGCAGAGAAACGCGTGCGACGACCTGGGTCTCTGAGTGGGGAAAGGACAGAATTAATTGGGTGTCGTCAGCGTAGCAGTGGTATGAAAAACCATAGGGGCTAATGACTGATCCGAGTTTGTGGGAGAAGAGGAGGGGGACCAAGAAAAGAGCCCTGAGGGACCCCTGTAGTTAATTGACAAGGGTCGGACTCGGACCCTCTCCAAGTTACCCTGTAGGTACGGTCTTTGAGGTATGAGGTGAGGAGGGAAAGTGCAGAGCCTGAAACTCCAAGTTCTTGGAGAGTGTGAAGGAGGATCTGATGGTTCACTGTGCCAGCTCTTTACTTCAGTGGTGTTAATATGGGAATAGTATTGAGTAACTTACAATCTCTGGATCCGGCTGAGGATGGCGCTGAAGGCGGCCTGAACGTCGGCGGCTGACAAGGTGCAGACGATCGGCTGATCGAAGAGAATCTCCGACAGATACTGAACACAGAGAGGGGACATCATGCATGTTCATTAAAATATCCATCACTCTCATCCCTGTCCAACCTCAGAGAAACATTACAACAACTGTGAACATTCATAAACACACCTCCGCCCCTCAAAGACTTGCATCCTTTGGTTACTAAAACCCTTTATGAACACACAGTTAGAAATACACTACATTTATACAGTTTTGTACATTTAACCTTTTTAGACTGTAAGTGTAAATATGCACATTGACATTGAAAGTTATCTCGTTGCACTGTCATCGCTACTACCTCTGCTTTTAACACTCTTATTTATTTATGTGTGTATATTTTTTTACTTCAGTGAGAGTTGCCAAAGAAATGTCGTTGTACTTTGTATGAAGACAATAAAGATATATTCTATTATATTCTATATCATACGATTATATTCTATAAAAATACTGATACAGATAACGAAATAATAGTTTTGTGTGTGAGATGTTCCTCTGATGCGATCAGACCTGCCCCTGCCAGTCGGAGGTGTTGATCAGGATGATGGAGTCGGGGATCCGCTCCTCAGAGAACAGGATGTGGTTCAGCTGATCCAGGACCGACTTCCTGGCAGCCTGAGGAGAAAAAGCCTGAGCGTTCAGGTCCCGATCTCCCTTTCTCTGGAACAACTTCCTGTCTTCATCAGGGAGGCAGACAGTGTGTTGAAGACTTTCCTTTTTAATAAAGCCTACAGGTTAGAGCTGGTTTCAGGTCACCTAATGGCTCTCCTCCTGAGCCTTACATTGTATGCTATTTGTTTTCTATTGTTTCTATTGTCTTATTGTTGTGTAGTATCTTGTTTTATTCTTTATGTATTTTATTTGTATTTCATCTTCTATTTTGTCTTTTAATTATCTTGTAATTGTATTTATCTTCTAACACTTTCATCTATGTGTGTTCAACTGTAAAGGCCACTGAGAAATAGCTGTGTTGTGATATTGGGCTATATAAATAAACTTTGATTTGAAAAAGATCACACAAAATAAAATGGCTGATTGTGGAAAACCTGTCCGTCTGTCTCACCTGTGGAGGAAGTATCCTGCAGTCCATGGAAGTCTCACTGTCCATGCTGCTGTGGTTCTGTCTGTCCTTCATGGAGGCTCCCCAAGAGTGGCGAGACAGCTGACATCGTGTCTTACTGAAAACAAACCAATATTACATCCCAGCAGCTTGTTGATACGTACAGGTAGCCTTGTGTGATAGTGTGTGTGTGTGTGTGTGTGTACCTTGTTGACATGTGTTTTGGGGGCTCAACCTCAACTTCCTGTGCAGAGAATAAGAAAAAGAGAGTGGGTTTCTGTGTGTGTCTGTGTGTCTGTGTGTGTGTGTATGTGTCTGGTAAACACTAACCACGGGGCCCGCCTCCTCTTCTCGGATCTCAGATGGTAATCGGGGCCCCTGAGTGGCAGGAATCTCCATTTCCTGTTAACCAGAGATGAGGAAGTACCCAGATACTTTACATCTCTACACATTATTCCGGCATCCAAAATATTTTCATTACATTCAGGTGAACATGTTATGGGTCAGTTTTACTCACAGTTTGTTGTTTCTGCGTCTGAATCTCACTCTGAGAGCTCGAATGAGAAACCCCGTCAAAGAAAGGCCTGCATGGTCAGAATCAGATGGATTAACACATTATCCATGAAACATCGGACACTTTATCATCAGAGACGTCCTGTTTATTTAAGCTCCTCTGGTCGTGATTAAGTGCTGCAGACTTTGGATTCTGCGTCATTCTGAAAAGAAGACCAAAAAAACAATACTACACAGTGCAAAAACCTTAAAAAACAACAATTTAAAACTGTTTTAACTGGATGCTACTTCACTTCTTTTTATAATACTGCTGCTTATTTTCCCTATATTTCCACACAAAGGCTAGAGGCACCAAACTTGGTAGTCATCAAAGAAGGGAGGACACCATCACACACCACCAAATTGCATGACTCTAGCACTCACCGTTCTCATAACCCTAATCCTAGCTATTTTCAAAGTGTCCTTGGGCAGGATACCTGACCACAAATGACTCTCTTAGTTTAATAGGTCTGTTTAAATAGCGCATCAGATAAATACTAAATAACATGGTGTTAAATGTTAAAACCAATCTAACACTCCCTCTTCGGGCGTTTTGGGCAGATCACCCTTTTATACTGTTTATCACCCCCTATAACCTGAGGAAAACCCCACATTCAATACAATGGAGGCCAATGGCAGCTATATCTAATGAAGCAGCTATAAAAGCCAAACTTGGTACACAATCAGCAATGGGAAGAGGACAACAATTCACACCAAATGTTACCACTCTACCATTTACTCTTCAGGAGTTATATGAGGGGCATACCCTTTTTGCTATAATGGATGTCAATGGCAGCTTCATCAAAGGAATAGGCTAGAAGCACCAAACTGGGTAGTCGTCAAAGATGGGAGTACACCATAACACACACCAAATTGCATGACTCTAGCACTCACCATTCTCATAACCCTAACCCTAATCCTAGCTATTTTCAAAGGGCCCTTGGCCACGATACCTGACCACAAATTACTCTCTAAGGTTTAATAAGTGTCATTAGGTGAACCTTCAGATAAATAATAAATAACATGTGTTGTTAAATGTTAAAACCAATCTAACTCTCACTGTTCGGGAGTTGTAAGTGGATCCCCCCTTTCTGTTTATCACCCTAACAACAACCCTCAATCAATCACAATGGAGGCCAATGGCAGCTATATCTAAACAAAGCGGCTACAATAGCCACACTTGGTGCCACATCAGCAATGTGAAGAGACAATAATGCACACTAAATTTGTACCACTCTACCATTTACCCTTTGTGAGTCTAAATGAGGGGCATACCCTTTTTGCTATAATGGCTGTCAATGGCAGCTTCATCAAAGGAATAGGTAGAAGCACCAAACTGGGTAGTCGTCAAAGATGGTGAGGACACGATAACCACACACCAAATTGCATGACTCTAGCACTCACCGTTTTCATAACCCTCAACCCTAATCCTAGCTATTTTTCAAAGTGTCCTTGGGCAGGATACCTGACCACAAATGACTCTCTTAGGTTTAATAGGTCTGTTTAAATAGAGCATCAGATAAATAATAAATAACATTGGTGTGTTAAATGTTAAACCAATCTAACACTCACTCTTCGGGCGTTTTGGGCAGATCACCCTTTTATACTGTTTATCACCCCTATAACCTGAGGAAACACCCCACATTCAATACAATGGAGGCCAATGGCAGCTATATCTAATGAAGCAGCTATAAAAGCCCAAACTTGGTACACATCAGCAATGGGAAGAGACAATCATCTCACCAAATGTTACCACTCTACCATTTACTCTTCAGGAGTTATATGAGGGGCATACCCTTTTTGCAATAATGGATGTCAATGGCAGCTTCATCAAAGGAATAGGCTAGAAGAAGCACCAAACTGGGTAGTCGTCAAAGGATGGGAGTACACCATAACACACACCAAATTGCATGACTCTAGCACTCACCATTCTCATAACCCTAACCCTAATCTAGCTATTTTCAAAGGGCCCTTGGCCACGATACCTGACCACAAATTACTCTCTAAGGTTTAATAAGTGTCATTAGGTGAACCTTCAGATAAATAATAAATAACATGTGTTGTTAATGTTTAAAACCAATCTAACACTCACTGTTCGGGAGTTGTAGGTGGATCCCCCCATTTCTGTTTATCACCCTAACAACAACCCTCAATCAATCACAATGGAGGCCAATGCAGCTATAATCTAAAAAAGCGGCTACAAATAGCCACACCTTGGTGCACATCAGCAATGTGAAGAGACCAATAATGCAGCACTAAATTGTACCACTCTACCAATTTACCCTTTGTGAGTTAATGAGGGGCATACCCTTTTTGCTATAATGGATGTCAATGGCAGTTTAATCAAAGGAATAGGCTAGAAGCACCAAACTGGGTAGTCGTCAAAGCATGGGAGGACACGATAACACACACCAAATTGCATGACTCTAGGCACTCACCGTTTTCATAACCCTAACCCTAATCCTAGCTATTTTCAAAGTGTCCTTGGGCAGGATTACCTGACCACAAATGACTCTCTTAGGTTTAATAGGTCTGTTTAAATAGAGCATCAGATAAATAATAAACAACATGGTGTTAAATGTTAAAACCAATCTAACACTCACCGCTCGGGAGTTTTGGGCGCATCACCCCTTTTATATTGTTTATCAACCCCTATACCCTGACAACAACCCACATTCAATTATAATGGATGTCAATGGCAGCTTATATCAAAGAAAGCAGCTACAAAAGCCAAAACTTGGTGCACATCAGCAATGGAGGAGACAATAATGCCACACCAAATTGTACTACTCTACCCTTAACCCATCTGGAGTTATATGAGGAATATTCCCCTTTTTGCTATAATGGGAGTCAATGGCATGTCAACCAAAAGAAGAGGCTTGAGGCGCCAAACTCAGTACACATCAAATAAGTGAAGACACCATCACACACACCACATTTCAATACGCTAGCCCTCACCGTTTACATAACCCTAGCTATTTTCAAAGTGTCGTTGGGCAAAATATTTAACCCGAAATTGGATGGACCTTCAGATAAATAATGAAAAGTTAAATGTTAAATAGCGTCTGCAGAAGGACCTGAGTTTGGGTTTTGGCGAGACCATGATGATGTCGCTGTCGTCGAGCTCCGGTCCGCTGTCACTCGGGTCGTAACCCTGCAGACTGTCGTACAGCTGGTCCAGGTCTTCTGCCGCCTCCGGACCCCCCCCCACCGGGTCTGAGTCAAGAACCTGCAGCGGGTCAACAACATCGAGATTTAACATTGATATTCATATATTAACAGTCTTTTATTTAAAGAAAACTCATGTGCAATGCCTTGTTTACATGCTGCTGTGACAACAAATGTCTCAATAGAAAACAAAATGTAGTTATAATCAAATAAGCCACTATTTCAGGACATCAACAGCTCAGTCGATTAATAAATTAGCGTCTATAAACATTTAAGAAATGTTCACATTTATTTTAACTAATTTCGAGTCTTTTTAATGTATTTGAAATTATTCTGCATTAGATAATTTTAAGATTAATACTACATAGTTTGATATCTCTATTGTTAATATTGTTAATTTGTATTTATTGGGTTTCAATCTTTTTCACTGAATCAGTTCTCCTGAATCAGTTATTTTCAAATCTCTTAAAGGATTTTGGTTTCAGGAGGAGGAATATTTTGAATTGTTGTTATGTCTTTAGTGCTCAGTGCAAACCTCGTCTGGGACCTTGAATCTCCTCAGCAGAGACACAAACCTCTGTTTGAAGATCGATTGCTGAAAGAAAGGAAGCAGAAAAGTGAGACACAGTGTTACACGAGAACTAATTATAAGTGGTAGTTTATACAAATCCACCCATTCTGTTTCTCTGTGAATGATCAGCTCTGATTGGTCCACACCTGAGTCAGGGACGTTGTTCTGACCAGTTTCTTGCGAGAATTCTTCAACTTTCCCTGGAAATCCTCATCATCATCATACAGGTCCTGAGGTTTGATAAGAAACAGAATAACAGACAAGCTCAACATATTTCTGCGGGCTTGATTGCCTTTTCAGAAAGGGTTCGGCCTGAGGACGCACATTTTGAACATTTTGTTAACATGCTAAATATTCGTACGTTATTATTTCAAAAATAAAGGAATCTCTTAAAGGTGAAGATTTGTATCGATGTTTCAACTTCAGCTGCCAATCACCTGAGGGGGGACTGCGTCGTCACTTCCTTCCTGTTCGGAGGAGAAGCTGTCGTCATCGTCCTCAGAGTAGTTCTCCATGTAAGGAGAGTGATCTGCACAATAAGCGATAGTACACAATATCACAGTTCAAAGAGACCTTTTACTTCTTCACAAACACATGACTAGTCTAGTTTAAAGAGTCCTCTCCTGCTGATGTTCAGGTGTATATCAGTATGTAGTGTCTCTACTTTAAAGAGTCCTCTCCTGCTGATGTTCAGGTGTATATCAGTATGTAGTGTCTCTACTTTAAAGAGTCCTCTCCTGCTGATGTTCGGTGTATATCAGTATGTAGTGTCTCTACTTTAAAGAGTCCTCTCCTGCTGGTGTTCAGGTGTATATCAGTATGTAGTGTCTCTACTTAAAGAGTCCTCTCCTGCTGATGTTCAGGTGTATATCAGTATGTAGTGTCTCTACTTAAAGAGTCCTCTCCTGCTGATGTTCAGGTGTATATCAGTATGTAGTGTCTCTACTTTAAAGAGTCCTCTCCTGCTGATGTTCAGGTGTATATCAGTATGTAGTGTCTCTACTTTAAAGAGTCCTCTCTGCTGATGTTCAGGTGTATATCAGTATGTAGTGTCTCTACTTTAAAGAGTCCTCTCCGCTGATGTTCAGGTGTATATCAGTATGTAGTGTCTCTAATTTAAAGAGTCCTCTCCTGCTGATGTTCAGGTGTATCAGTATGTAGTGTCTCTACTTTAAAGAGTCCTTCCTGTGATGTTCAGGTGTATATCAGTATGTAGTGTCTCTACTTTAAAGAGTCCTCTCCTTGATGTTCAGTGTATATCAGTATGTAGTGTCTCTACTTTAAAGAGTCCTCCCTCTGATGTTCAGGTGTATATCAGTATGTAGTGTCTTACTTTAAAGAGTCCTCCTGCTGATGTTCAGGTGTATATCAGTATGTAGTGTCTCTACTTTAAAGAGTCCTCTCCTGCTGATGTTCAGGTGTATATCAGTATGTAGTGTCTCTACTTTAAAGAGTCCTCTCCTGCTGATGTTCAGGTGTATATCAGATGTAGTGTCTCTAACTTTAAAGAGTCCTCCTGCTGATGTTCAGGTGATATCAGTATGTAGTGTCTACTTAAAGAGTCCTCCGCTGATGTTCAGGTGTATATCAGTATGTAGTGTCTCTACTTTAAAGAGTCCTCTCCTGCTGATGTTCAGGTGATATCAGTATGTAGTGTCTCTACTTTAAAGAGTCCTCTTGCTGATGTTCAGGTGTATATCAGTATGTAGTGTCTCTACTTTAAAGAGTCCTCTCCTGCTGATGTTCAGGTGTATATCAGTATGTAGGTCTCTACTTTAAAGAGTCCTCTCCTGCTGATGTTCAGGTGTATATCAGTATGTAGTGTCTCTACTTTAAAGAGTCCTCTCCTGCTGATGTTCAGTGTGTATATCAGTATGTAGTGTCTCTACTTTAAAGAGTCCTCTCCTGCTGATGTTCAGGTGTATATCAGTATGTAGTGTCTCTACTTTAAAGAGTCCTCTCCTGCGATGTTCAGGTGTATATCAGTATGTAGTGTCTCTACTTTAAAGAGTCCTCTCCGCTGATGTTCAGGTGTATATCAGTATGTAGTGTCTCTACTTTAAAGAGTCCTCTCCTGCTGATGTTCAGGTGTATATCAGTATGTAGTGTCTCTACTTTAAAGAGTCCTTCCTCCGCTGATGTTCAGGTGCTATATCATGTAGTGTCTCTACTTTAAAGAGTCCTCTCCTGCTGATGTTCAGGTGTATATCAGTATGTAGTGTCTCTACTTTAAAGAGTCCTCTCCTGCTGATGTTCAGGTGTATATCAGTATGTAGTGTCTCTACTTTAAAGAGTCCTCTCTGCTGATGTTCAGGTGTATATCAGTATGTAGTGTTCTCTACTTTAAAGAGTCCCTCTGCTGATGTTCAGGTGTATATCAGTATGTAGTGTCTCTACTTTAAAGAGTCCTCTCCTGCTGATGTTCAGGTGTATATCAGATGTAGTGTCTCTACTTTAAAGAGTCCTCCTCCTGCTGATGTTCAGGTGTATATCAGTATGTAGTGTCTCTACTTTAAAGAGTCCTCTCCTGCTGATGTTCAGGTGTATATCAGTATTTAGTGTCTCTACTTTAAAGAGTCCTCTCCTGCTGATGTTCAGGTGTATATCAGTATGTAGTGTGTCTACTTTAAAGAGTCCTCTCCTGCTGATGTTCAGGTGTATATCAGTATGTAGTGTCTCTACTTTAAAGAGTCCTCTCCTGCTGATGTTCAGGTGTATATCAGTATGTAGTGTCTCTACTTTAAAGAGTCCTCTCCTGCTGATGTTCAGGTGTATATCAGTATGTAGTGTCTCTACTTTAAAGAGTCCTCTCTCGCTGATGTTCAGGTGATAGAAGTATGTAGTGTC